GTCTGGAGGCTCTAACTCCCCACACTGCCCAGCACCCCAGTCATGTTCACCCCACGACCGCACTTCACGCCTCTGCTCTGCCAGAGGGCACCTTGAGTACCCCCAGTTCACTGAGAAAGAAATTAAGGCTTTGGAGAAAGAACCGGAGCCAAGGTGCTTCAGGGCCCTGCTGGGGCTGTTCTACAGGATGTGGGGTGCGGGGGGGAAAAGAGGCTGGGGAACGCGGAGATGGGTGAGGGCTGCTGAGAACACCCTGGAGCTGGCGGTGGATGGGTGAGCTCCTGGGGGCTGGGGTTTCTTTGCTCACATTTTATTTTGTTTCATTTTGTTTGAAAGTGACTTAATGTCACCACAGCTAAAAGCTTGGCTTCCAGGACATCTCAGATGTGGCCGATACTAAGACCAAGTGCTCGCTGGGGTGACATCGAAAGAGAAGAGTTGTGGAAACCAGCTCAGGCCTCTCTGGCCTCTCTGGCCCTTGGAGAAACATTTCTGGGTCAAGAATTTCCAACCTATAAACTCTCCATGTTTCAAATTCAAAGGAGGTCTGTGCAGGGCTGGGTTTGTATAACCTTTCCCATTACAGAACTTCCTGCTCTGTGGCCTCCTAGCAAGCACGTAGTCCAGGCCAGGGTTCAGAAAGATGATCCGATGGATTGAAATACACAAACAGATTTAAAGTCGGATGGAACTGGCATAGTGCTGTAGTTGATTATACTTGAAAAACAAACAAACTCACAGAAAAAGAGATCAGGTTTGTAGTTACCAGAGGTGGGGAGTGGGGCTAGAAGGAACTGGATGAACTCGGTCAAAAGCTACACACTTCCAGTTATAAGTTAAATAAGTACTAGGGTTGTAATATACAACATGATAAATATGATGAACACTGCTGTATGTTACATATGAAAGTTGTTAAGAGAATAAATCCTAAGAGTTCTCATCACATATATATGGAATCTAAAAAAAAAAAAGTCTGAAGAACCTAGGGGCAGGACAGGAATACAGACGCAGACGCAGAGAATGGACTTGAGGACACGGGGAGGGGGAAGGGGAAGCTGGGACCAAGTGAGAGAGTAGCATTGACGCATATACACTACCAGGTGTAAAACAGATAGCTAGTGGGAAGTAGGCGCATAGCACAGGGAGATCAGCCTTGCGACCACCTAGAGGGGTGGGATAGGGAGGGTGGGAGGGAGACGCAAGAGGGAGGGGATATAGCTGATTCACTTTGTTATACAGCAGAAACTAACAAAGCATTGTAAAGCAATTATACTCCAATAAAGTTGTTAAAAAGAAAATTGTCTTCCTACTTCTTTATTTTTGTGTCTATGTGAGATGATAGACGTTCACTAAACTTATTGTGATAATCATTTTATGATGTACATAAGTCAAATCATTATGCTGTACACCTTAAACTTATACAGGGCTTTATGCCAATTATATCTCAATAAAACTGGAAGTAAAATATTAAGTCAGACGGAAGACTCAGGGCCCTGGAATGGGCCTGATCAAAAAGAGGAAATTTTTTAAAAACTGGTATTTGCAAAACAAATTTTTGGAATGTCCACATGGGACGTTTGGGCTGAAGCAGGAGGACGCATTGGCAGGTGTCAGGGCCTCTTTGTCACCCTGGTTTCCCTCCACTGATGCCAGCATGAGTGTCACCCAGGAAAACGACTCGTATCTCTTGCACTTTTCCCTTCTTGAGAATCTGCCAAAGAAAAGCCAGTACTTTGAAGTGGAAACTTGTTTATAAATCCAAAACTTTTTTTTGCAGAATGTTTCTGGGCCTCAGTAGATTATTATTTTAACTTTTTCCCCCAAATATTTTCTCCATATTTGGGCAAGAGGCTAAGGATTTTTGTTTGTTTTTTCATCAGAAACTGCAGCGTCTTGAAGACAGTGAGACCCTGCCTGCTCTCTCTCGTGGGGGATTCTGGGCCGAGCCTCCAAGATCAGCTCTGCTTCTGGCCTCTGTGTGTGGTTCACACACACACAGTCGCTGGACAAGAAATGTCAGTCCATAAAAATTCCTGGAGGAAAACCCCACCCCTTGCTCAAGAGTTCCTTATCTCGGGGCATTTTCTGTTCCCTGGAGATAAGGATCTGTTCTTCCACTCTTAGCAGGTCAGAGCTGAGAGGCCATCAAACCCCCACCCCATTTTACAGAGGGGAAACTGAGGCCCCGGGAGGGGATCAGTGCGTTTGTGGCTGAGCATAGAATCTTTTTCTCCCAATGCTTTTACTTTGAAAAATGTCTAATCTATAGGAACGTTTCAAGAAGAGTACAGTGAACATCCATACTTACCAATTGTTAACATTATGCTACATTTGCTTTGTCTCTTATTTTCTCCCTGTTTCTCTCCTTAAATTCGTGTTTGAGTTTCAGATATCACGACCGATGCCTCACCCACAATAGTCCAGCATGCATCTCCCTCTACAGAACCACAATAAGGTGGTCACACTCAGGAAGTGCAGTGTCTAAATCAATATAATTATCCAATACACATTCCGTAATTCAAATTTCTCTCTTTGTCATGCTAACTACCACAGTGTTCATTAGAGATTCTTTGTTTTTACCCAAGAATTCATCAAGGGTCACTCAGTGCCTTTATACAATAGTTGTTATGTCTTCTTCAGTCTACAGCAATTCTCAGCCTTTTGTTTTGTTGTTTTGTTTTTGCTTTTGCCTTTTATGACAGTAACATTTTAAGAGCATCCAGGCCAGTTGGTTTGCAGAAGATCCCTCAGTTTGAATGTGTCTGACTGTTTGCTGTTGATTAGATTCCGGTTAGACTTTTCAGCCAGGAAATCCATAGATGATGCTGAGCCCTTCCCAGAGCCATGATGCCGGGAAGCATGTGAGGTCTGTCCGTCCCATTATTGGTGACATCAGATTTGACTGTTTCATTAAGTTGGTGTCTCTAGATTTCTGTGTATCTTGTTCCCTAAAAATATTTGACCCTATGGTTTTAACATCTTCTGAGATAATTACTTCTCGAATCAGTTCTTACCAGGCTGATTGTAAAATAGTGATTTTTGGTTTTGTCATTCTCTCTACATTTATTAGTTGATGTTCTTCTTTAAAGAAGAATTTTCCCTTCTCTTATGAAACGTTTTTTAAAGTATCAGTATTGGGATTTCCCTGGTGGTCCAGGGGCTAAGATTCTGTGCTTCCCACGCTGGGGGTCTGGGTTCGATCCCTGGTCAGGGAACTAGATCCCACATGCATGCCGCAACTAAGAGCCCACATGCCACAACGAAGATCGAAGATCCCACATGTTGCAAATAAGACCTGGCTCAGCCAAATAAATAAATAAATAAATATTTTTAAAAAGTATCAGTATTGACTCATGGATTTGGATTTTATCCAATGGGCTAAATATGTTAATTTGCTTATTTATTTTGTGCTCAAATTTTCCCCAATCTGACCATTGGGAGCCCTTTCAAGCCCCTTCTGTGCCATCGTTCTTCGAGAGCTTCTTTACTTACTAAGCTCCTCTGGACTTTCCCTGCCCCAGCCCTGGAGTCACCATCTCTCCAGGGACCCTGGTGCGGTTTGCTGGCAGATGAGGTTTCAGGTCCAAGAGTGCTAAGTGAGCTCCTTGCAATAGGCTGTCATCCCTTCTATGTCCTCTCAATAGACAGAGCTTGGGAGTCATTTTGTTACTTTTTCATAATAATATTGCTAATTGAAAATACTCCCCCTTCCCCCACTCCAAATCCCCTTCATCCTATGGCGGGAAGCTGGGTCCTGACAGCACCAGTCCTAGGGTGCCCCAAAGTTGCTTCCCAGCTGCTCTGTCTCCCACCGTCACCACTGCCTCACCAGTGAGGACAAGGGTCTCTTTGTCCTTAGAAGATTCTCCACCAAGGGAGCACAGGCAGGCAAGCCTGTTCCAGAGTCCCTCAGGTACAGTCCTTTTCTTCAAGTGGTTATACCATCAATGTCATACACAGATTCACTAGTTACTGTTGGGCTCCAGTTTTAAAATTTCCCATCCTTTTACTTTTTTTGTTTTTGTTTTTGTTTTTGTTTTTGTTTTGCGGTACGCGGGCCTCTCACCGTTGTGGCCCCTCCCGCTGCGGAGCACAGGCTCCGGACGCGCAGGCTCAGCGGCCATGGCCCACGGGCCCAGCCACTCCGCGGCATGCGGGATCCTCCCGGACCGGGGCACGAACCCACGTGCCCTGCATCGGCAGGCGGACTCTCAACCACTGCGCCCCCAGGGAAGCCCCTCCCATCCTTTTACTTTTATTTTTTAAATGTAAAATCTAAGGTGTACTGGGAGATGTGCACGCTTCCTGATGCTGGAGGGAACCATCTGGTCCAGGTGAAGACCCCAACACTATTCTCAAAAGCTCCCCCAGGAAGCACGCCTTGAAAAGCTGATCCACCCCTTTTGAAACAGCCTTGGGCTGGGGGGCAGCACTCCTGTGCTCCACCAGCCCTGGAGCCCACCTGCAGCCTTGGCGAGTCCCTGGCCTCCTGGGGCCTTGGCCTTGCGCCTGTGAACTGAAGGGCCACACCAGAGGTCTTCAGACAGCTCACAGACCCAGGACTTCCAGGTTTTCCATGACACCACTTTCACCCGTTAACCCGTTTCATCTTCACAAGAGCCCAGTGAGTGGCACGTAGTAGGGTTTCCATAAATAGAATTCCATAAAGGAATCAGAGTCCCCACTTTACAGTGTGGAAACTAAGGCTCAGAGAGGGCGTGGTTTGCCCCCAAGGTCTCATTAGGCGAGAGACGCCCTGAAAGCGCCGCTCCAGCCTCGGCACACAGTAGGAGCTTCGGTCAGGGGACGGGGAAGGTCCGGCGGGGATGGATTTGTGCCCTGAACACCTCGCGGTCCGGGGGAGCCCGGGGCGGGATTTATGCAAATATCCTGCGAGGAGGCGGAAGATTGGCTGGCTGCGGCGGGGGCGGGGCGCGCCGGGGGCCCAGGGCGGACAGGTGTGCGCGGCGGGAGAGGCGCGGTGCACGCTCGCCCCCTGGACCGCCCGCCCTGTCGCAGCTTCTCTCGGGCTATGCCTCCGCTCTGGGTCCTGCTGGCCCTCGGCTGCCTGCGACTTGGCTCAGGTAAACAGCGGATGAGAGGAGGGGGCTGTGCCCGGGGAGGGCGGGCAGCTGTGTCCCGGCGCGTGTCCTGCACCCTGATCCTCCTGAAGGGTCCCCAGAGGAGCCTGGATGGAAAGTGGCACCAGGAATGGGAACTTATTCCCTCCAGGAATGGGCACAGATGCCTGCTCTGTGCCAGGCCCTGTGCAGCCTCTGGGGACCCAGATATTAATAATAATAGCCAAAGTTGATTAATAGGCTTCTTCTGATGGGGATTCGAGGGCTCTGTGTTGGGTGCTGCAAGAGAAACACAGGGGACTGTGGGAGAGCAGAGAAGGGACTGGACTAGACTCATGGTGATGCTTGGACTCGGGACACGGAGGGCTATTTCATGTGAAGGGGCAGCATGGGCAAGTTCAGGGAGGAGGGGGGTGGCATTGTCTATCCTGGGAACCTCCCACCCATTGTCCATCGGTGTGACCGGAGCATGAGGTCAGGGGGTGTGCATGGAGGGGAGACTGGAGACTTACGAGGCAAGGCCCAGAGCTTCAGGACCTCACTGCCTCTCCAGAGAGGCTGGACCGTGTTGGAGGGCAGTGGGGAGCCAGGAAGGGGCCCAGCAGGAGAGGCACACAGAGGATCGGGGAAGGCTGTTTCCTAGGGTCCAGGTGAAGAGGGCGGACTCAGGCCGGGATGACGGGTGGAGAGATGCGTAGGAGGAGCAATGGGGTTCTCGGTGACGGGATGTCTGTTGGGGGGAGCGAGACAGTAGTTCAGCTGGATTTCCTGGTTCTGGTCAGGATGGCTGGGTGGGGGCGGGGACGCTGCCCGTGTCTGCAGGGGGTGTGTGTGTGCGCGCGCGCGTGCGCGCAGCGCATGCGCCTAGGTGTGGACAGTTCTGCTGGGGGTCAGCTCCTGGCCTCATTGCTCCTGCAGGTGTGAACCTCCAGCCCCAGCTGGCTAGTGTGACCTTTGCCACCAGCAACCCCACACTCACCACCGTGGCCTTGGAAAAGCCTCTCTGCACGTTTGACAGCCCGGCGGCCCTCCATGGCACCTACGAGGTGTACCTCTATGTCCTGGTCGACTCAGGTAAGGGTCCTGCTTCCTCTGGGCTGCTCTGAAAGGGGCTTTGACCTGTCTGCAGGCAGGAGGGAAGGAGACAGGTAGAGGGGTGCTCCATCCCTGCAATTAAACCACCCATGCACCTCACTGACATGCACTGGTGCCCGCTTTGTGCCAGCCCTGGGCTGGGTGATTGCGGTCCCAGACGTGCATCTGCCCTGGAGGGACATCCAGTCTAGTGGCGGGAATAATAACAGCTTCAAGCACTGAGTACTTACATTGTGCTTCGTGCTTCGCACACCTTAGAGCGAATAGTTACAACCTGCCTGCAAGGTTAACTGTTAGGATGCTATATCACACGGGCAAATAATCGGGGCTCAGAGAGGCTGAGCAGCTCATGGGAGCTCCCGGAGCTGGAGAGCAAATCAGATTCTCTGGTCCTCGAGCTCAAGTCCTGCCCAAGGCTTCCCGCGGTAGTTCAAGATCGGTGTTTGGGATGGAAGCCACGCATTCGGACTTGCTGGCTCTGGGCCAGCCCCGACCTGTTCACTGGCAGCAACCCTGGGATCTGAGAGTGGGGACCCGATGACAACCTCCTACGTTTCTAGCCAGCAGCCATTTACAGCAGCTCCTGTGGGGTCATCATTTTATTCTTTCAGCAAACAAGTATTGACTGCCTACCTGCGCCCAATCCCAATGTGCAGGCACTGCGAGGTATTTTCCTCCCATTTCACAGAGGGTCCAGAGAGGTAAAGTGAGTGGTCCAAGATCACCCAGCAAGTAAGGAAGAGACCTCAGGGCCCAGTACAGCGCTGGCGCAGAGAGGATGCTTAGGGATGTTTGTTGAATGACTGAGTGAGTGACTAAGCTGGGGTGGCCAGGAACCTCACTCCCGGCACTGCCTCTCCAGCCAGCTTCAGGAACGCCTCTGTGCAGGACAGCACCAAGGCCCCACTCAGCTCGACATTCCAGCAAACAGAGGGAGGGAGGACAGGCCCCTACAAGGCGGCGGCCTTTGACCTGACCCCCTGCAGCGACCTGCCCAGCTTGGATGCTGTCAGGGATGTGTCCCGGGCCTCGGAGATCCTGAACGCATACCTGGTCAGGGTGGGCACCAATGGGACCTGCCTGTCTGACCCCAACTTCTGGGGCCTCTGCAACCCACCCCTGTCAGCAGCCACGGAATACAGGTGGGTGTGAACGGCTGCGGGAGAGGGGCAGGTGTGCCCCAGCCCCGACGTGGGGCGACCTAGAACCGGTGAAGTGTGAGAAGCCACATTTCTCCGGAGCCTACCACATGCCAGGACCGTCCCGGGTGCCATAAAGGATTCCTGGCTTCCTGGGCTTGTGACCATGCACAGGGTCCTGTGCTCAGAAGGACCCCCTCTTGGCTTAATGCTCTGCCACTGCCATCTTGAAATTCTTAACTTTTAAACTAGGGGCTGCATTTTCCTTTTTACACTGGGCCCTACAAGTTATGCACCTGGTCCTGGCCCATCACCCATGTGGCAGTTCGTTTGACAGGGAAGGAGCTGTGGTCCAGAGAGGGAAGGGGGTCACCTCGAGAAAAGCTGGGGCTCAGCGCAAAGACTTCTCCCGCCTCCCTGCAGCGCGCCCTTTCGTGGCCCACCCGTGGAAGGGTGCGCTTGCAGGGAGCGCACAGCGGCTCATTTTCACGCGTATTTCCTGAGCATCTTCTCTGTGCCGAGCTAGGGGCTCAGCCCGACCCAGGGCCAGGCGTCTTACCCAGTGCCAAGCTTTGATTACACCCACCCCTGTTACCACGGGGACGCCTAGGTTGGGGTCTCTGTACCCTCTAGGCCACATCTGGGGCCCAGGCCATCCCTTACCTCCATCCTCTCACAGGGCTCAGCCCTCCTCTGGCCTTGGCCACTGGGCAGGACCTGAGTCCTGGCTGTCCTCTCCCCCACCCTCAACCTTTACCTCTGACCTTGGTCTTAACGTGGGAAAACCTCTCCCTCCTACTTGAGCCCACCCTACCTAGGGGACACAGGGCACACATCCCAGCCTCTGGAATTCTCAACTTCAAACCTAGAGAAGCAGGGATTAAGCAAAACACTGGATGCTACAAAGATTTTAAGGGTCTTCATTTTTTTTTAAGTGTCAGACTAGAGGCTGTTGATTTCTTTGATCTCAGAACATCCATCATTTTTAACTGAGGGTGAATAAGACCTAAAGCAGGCCATGGGTATTCTGTACTGTGTCACCTGATCTTCCTTTATGATTTGTAACACTTGATTGGGATTTTCTGCATATAAAGTTAGCCTTTATCACAGGGCATTGGGGCTGCACATGGATATTATTCCTTTTTTTTTTTTTTTAAGTCACTTTTGTGAGACCAAGGACCAGGCTGGGAATAGAGAAAGGCAAAAATGCAAGAAGGACAGATGGGTCAGTACTCAGCAAATCTGCTACGTGCACAATATATATGGCAGAGAAACAGAGGGGCTCCCAGAGAGAGAGCCTAGGCTCCAACTGCTTTGTGGATGAGGTGGCATCTGAGCTGTGGAAAAACGTGAGCAAAGGTGCTGCCAATGCAAAGTCCAGCAGCGTTTTGTTGCCAGAGGCCGCCCCCTGCTTCACTGGGTCCACCTAGATCTCCATCTCCTACGAGTCCCAGCTCTGCCCCGGTCCCTCCCCCTCCCTGTGGCTGAGGCTCACAGGATGGAAAGAAGTCATCCCTGCTCCATTTCCTTCCAGATTCAAGTACGTCCTGGTCAATATGTCCACAGGCTTGGTACAGGACCAGACCCTGTGGTCGGACCCCATCCGCACCAACCGACGTAAGTGGTGGAAATGAGCTGGGAGTGGTCCTCAAGGGAACCCAGGGAAGCACACTCATGCTGTCGCTTGGAAAAGTCTCCCCAGATACAGGCAGGTTATTGGGTTATGAGGAAAATGCATCTTAAAATAGTTTAACCCAAGGCTGCATCCTCCCTCCCTCCCTCCCTCCCTCCCTCCCTCCCTCCCTTGAGGACCAGGTGCCATGACAGAGGAAGGTGGAGGATTTGCAGGTGTTTGGGCTGGCCGGCTGGATGGGTGTAACTGAAGACAGAGTCAGCCGGCATTTCCAGCCCTGATGGTGCATTTGCCTCCAAAGGGCTCAGCATTTATCCTGCATTTAGACCCTAACGAGCCCACTTGTTGAGCCCTCACAAGGACAGCACATTATTCTGTAAGGTGGTTCCAGAGGCATCTTAGCCACAGGGGCATGAGCCCTGGAGGCAGCAGGAGTGCCATTCTCCTATGGTTTTTCTGAAATGGGGGGTCTTGCAGGCCCAGGCATCTGCCGGTGGTCCTGCCCTGACCCCCCCCCAGGCCTCCATCTGAGTTCTCAACACAGATCCCAGGCTTATACACACCAAATCA